CGCGCGTCGCAGCGAAACCGATACATCACTCGCTGCGCTCGGATTCTAAGCGAATATAACCGGTAGCGCATACCATTTTAGCACGATCGATTTGCATTCGCGTACGCCTAATACGCATTGTATTATTGTATGCGTACACACCGACACACCGAACATATTTATTATTGATTTAAATAGCCTTTCCCGTATACCGTACGGCTGTGTGGATACATATACCTACGCGGTATAATGTGCCCATGTAATTTGAATAAATCGAAAATAAAAGGACGGACGTATATGTGTATGCAAATCGATATACTAATTCGGAATGCGATTTAAGTCGGTTTATATCCTGCGATCCGGCACAGGGACGGTTTGCGTACGTTACGTACACGTAGAGCTGACCGTCGTCGTTTCGTGTTATTAGTTTTTGAAATCCAATCTCGTTGTTGTGTACCCACGCACCTGCACGGACATAGCAAACAACTAGGTACGTAATCATATAATACACAACCCGATATCCGTCACTGCGGGTTCGGTCGGCGCGTAAAGCGTCCACAAAACCGAAACCGTAATGTACGTACGCTCCGCTCAGGCATGTGTCCGTGTAGTATTTTACCGGAAAAAATTGGCCCCTGTATCGATATACCGCTGTATACAGAGCGATACGGTTATCGTCACGGTCCAGACGATCGTCTACATAATAAACGTATTGTAAACCGGAGGCGTAGATACAGATAACATATTCACGGGGAGGGTTCTGACTATCAAATATCCCGGTGAATCGCGGCGGGGGGGGGGTGCTTAAAAACGAATCGAACTCCTACGACGGTATTGCGTACACGTTTGATTTTAAGTTTGTTTCTCCGCAGACATTAAACCACTATATAGCAGTCCGCGCCAAAAGAAACAACAGGGAAATGATTTTCGTCGCGCTATTACGGCTCTTGGTGGGACAACCTTATTGTTTATTTGTGTTGTTTGTTTTGATTTTAATTTTTTTTTGTTTTCATCCGTATCACCAAGGTTGGTATAAAAATAATCGGATATTATCGTTCTGGAAATACCGATATCCTTGTGTCGGCTTCCCTTTGGGAGTTGAATACGGGTGAGGATGGTCGGCGGCTTCACACCGTGTATACTATGTAAATCCGTGCAAAGTTTCAGCTTAATCGGTTCAGCAGTCTGGGCGAGAATCGGTAACATACATACGTGCAAACAAACTTTCGCATTCGTAACATTAGTAAGATAACACGGGGAATTGTTTCAACGGTTATGCGAGTATTTTGAACACATTCACCATTATTTCATAAGAGAGAGGGGCAGAGAAATACTAATGAGTGTACTAGCGGTGACAGGCGCGTTCATGAGGGGAAGGGGATACCGATCGTACCGATCATCTGTTATCTATAATTCTATGATGTACTATTCCAAAGTCTTAAAATCATACTGAAACGGCGGCACCGTGGCGAAATTGCGTTACTCGGAACGTGGATCGTGGCGTTTATCATGCAGTTATAAGTTTAAACACAAATACCTAACGACATTTAGAGAAAATAATATTTTCGAGGACAGTACGGCGCTTTTTTATACAAACAATTTGGAGCCGTTCAAAAAATAAAACGTAATCGTAAACGTACGTGTGCGATGATATTGCGTTACCCGTTAGTTATCAGTAGTTATTTGCACTTTACATTGTTTTCCGGAACTTAATGTACGACGGTCGCACAAGCGACTATAACGAGTAACGAATTCGTTTCATATTCGTATTCGTAATTTAGAATGATAATAATATATTTTATTTTGCATTTTTCGACAATTTTTCATTTTTATTCTTTTGTTAAGGCATCGTTTGCGGTATTAACGGACGTTACATTCCCAGCTCTAGTTATTTAGACACCTAGACGGTAGGTAAATAACCATAAGTCCTCGGACGGTATTGACGGTGGAAACCGCGCAAAATAGATTTGTCTACAGACAATCATGCGGGCGGTATCGAATAGCGCCCGGATCGCTCCGGATAAAAGAATCGCCCTGTACACAAAATACCTACTTTCTCTCTCTCTCACTCACTCGCCGATTCTTTCTCCGCGCTGTATACACCGCCCGCCCCGTATATTATTGCTGCGGTAGGTCGTATAATATAATACTTGTATATTATTATTTGCGCCCGGCGCAAAAACCTTTATAATTCGGTCGGCGGCGGCGGCGGCGGTGTCTTCGATAAAGTTTCCGGTCGGGACGAAATTCGGCGGCCGGGACTTACGCCGCGGTGGAAATTATTGGCTTCGTTAAATGCGCGTTCGTTCGGTTTCAAACCCATATATGTATATATACATATATATATACATAGGGTACACCTATACGCTATATACGTACTTACGCGTAAATACATATATATATATATACGAATACGCGTATAGATACAAAGCACCGTGTACAATTCCCGAGCGGGCGAACGGGAAAAAGGTACGCGCGCCATTAATAAATACGGCGGGCGCGCGAGAGAGGAAACCGGAGGAAATGAAACGGTTATTCGTGTGCCGTCGCGTACAACGCGGCCGATACGTTTTTGTTACGACGTTTCGTGGATACTTGTTACACGCGCAGTGCAGTTGTAGCACTGCGCACACGACCGACCTTATAATAATATACCGGGTGTCCGCGGGCGCGCCCGTATGAGAAGAATAAATTGGTCTACTACCCTGTATAACCCGGCGGTATAAACAACAATGGTCACACGTCGACGGCCGTACCCACTCGTGTAATAAATTCGAACGTTCCGCCGCCGCCGCCGCCGCCCGTCCACGGCCGCACCGTACGTAATACAGCGTTCGAGTTTACCCCGCCGTCGTCGCGGAACGAAAACCGCGTCCCCGTTGTTTTCGGCGGAGATTTCTCTATTGGTCTTATTCGAAAATCGGTTTGTTTTACTTTTTTCTTTCCCCCCCCCCGTAATAAAAATACGCAACGCCCGGCGTGCAATGCTCGTATTATACGCTTACGCTCATTGTAAAACAAACGATCGATTCGGGAACGGAGGCGGGGGACCCGTCTGTCGAGAAACAGTAACAGTATTTAATAATAAGGGTCCCGGCTCTGGGAATAATATTTTCGCGTGATTATTTTTTCATCGGAAACTGGAAGACTTCTCGCGGACCGCACAGTGAACTCGGTTATTCAATATATAGTTCACTTTAAAACTTTACAGCACGTCGTCTTTTAAAACGAACATTTTAACGAAACTTGAAAAATTCGATATTACCGTCTGTAATGTCGAGTTTTTAACTCTTTTCGCCAAATTTTTTAGACCGTTGTTTAAAATCTAATGAAAAATCGGAGTTCAATGCGGTGTGTAAAATGGTTGAACAATTTGTCGTCGACAATATAAGTTTTCCGTGTTCCAGCGGAGTCGTTTTCGTCCGTAAAAGCGACTGTAACCCGTCCCCCTAAACGGAAATCGGGCGGTACGTTAATGAAAAAGCCGTATAAAAAAACGCGGTCGTTAGAATATTAAAAATAATTTTCAAATTTCACAGAGCTGGTGAAAATTTACACCGGTCCCTCTTAATAGTGTTTCTGCAGAGTGCGTGCAGATTTATTAGAATATAATTTAACTGATGCATTTTCACGCTCGGAGGTTTTCACTCATCCGCATTATAGTTTTATAAATAATTAAAACGTATTTAGAGATTCTGAGCGGTTCAGGATAAATGTGCGTGTTACGGTTCTACCGGTCATATAGCTTGAAAATGTTTGGTGATTCTTTGTTTCTTTCTCGATGTATACGGGTATATTTTTTTTGTTTTTTTTTTTTTTTTTTTTTTAACCGCGTATAAAAAATATGCTCGAAAATGAATTCATTTTTCACGGTCGAAATAAAAACCGTATCGAAAATCCAGACATCGCAATATTCTTTTTTTCGTTTGAAGTTCAGATTTAACGATTAAATTATAAATTTATGATTAAATAATTAATAAATTCGATTTAATTTTAGCGTGTATAACACTACAAGAAGACGGTGTTTTTTCTGCGCAATATTTCATTTCAAATCCATTTTTTCTCGATTTAATTAGTAATAGAAAACTAATCATAGTAATACTATAAGTACAAATCGACATAATTGTGTGTAAAATCTGCACAATATTATAATCGAAAGTTTAATCAATAAAGAAAAAAAACACAGGATCTTTTACGGGATTTTCAACATTTTGTTATTATCCCTTCACGCTATATTATAATATTATTATTATAAAAAACAATAAATATTATAATAAAAAAAACCGAGCGTATTCTATACAACTATACGACTACAGTCATATATCATAATATTATTTTAATTAAAATAAAATGTACTTTTTCTATATTTTTTTTTTCTTAATGTTATTTAAATTTTTTAGTTGATATTTCCGTTAATTTAATTAAGGTCAGGTTGTAAAAATGAAGTTTAAGAACAATATTTTGTTTGGGAACTCGAGCGAACATCAAAACGTATACCTACGTACACTATGTGTATGTATAATATACTGTAAGGTACTATATAGCACAACTGAAAAAAAAAATAGTATTATTATTTTTTATTTCCTTTTACTTTCTAACGACTTTTACAGAAGTTTTAATGATTTTAAAACGTTGCAGAGTCGGTAGGTATGCCATGACAAATAAAAACGATTGCCATCTTTTCCCGTTTCTTTATTGCATAAGAATATATTTAAATTTACAAAGGAAACGTCAAAAATAAAAATAAGATTAAATTAATTATTATCGAAAAAAAAAAAAATCAGTTGCAATATTATACATTGCGTTAACTTAAGCTTTGCGTTATACGTAATCGGTGCCGTGGTGAACACGAATTTGTTCACTTCGCAGTTGAGTGGCGACTCGTGAGTCCTGCAAGTGGCGAGTCGAATATTTTAAAAACTCCATCGGTCATGGATGTTATAATTATATACACGAGAGAAAAATATACACGCTATCTGAAATAATAATAATGTACGATTGGCGGTTCTCATTAATTATTGTACGTCGATTTCAAGCTTCAATTATCAAATGCTCACTCGCCTCATCTGGCGTGTTGCCACTAGCCGAGTTAGTTGTAGGATGTGCGCGTGTGGAGACGTAGGACTGTAGAACCATAGCGAGTTTGAAGTTATAATACTATATAATAGCGATTTATTGCTGATTTTTTCATAAAAGAATAGTGGTAGTGATGATAGCCGGTGAGTATATACGATTTCCGTTTTTCGTACATAATAATTGTTCTACAGTCTAATAGTATGTACCTGTATACCTTTTCATTTTTAATGCACTCATATCCCATTCATAATTAATACAATTTTCCATTATGGTATACTGTGTCATCGTTTCCGCCGGGGAAACAAAAATCTAGTAAAAAAAAAAAAAACATCATTTTTTTTTTTTTTTTATCTATACGGTCATGTTGTATATAGTTATCAAAATCGGTTAGATATTATGACGTATTAAGTATAAAATTCGTTATCTACCTACGGGCGGTTTTGTATTGTTAATTCGTATTATAATTTTAGGCATTTGAATTGTTCGAAGTGCTCAGTAATGTCCTCGACAATAATCGATTAATAAAAACGTGTCGTAGAAGACGAAAACGCAGTTACGAGGTAACTGCGTATTTAAATTACGTTCTAAAATAATATAAAATTATTCTCGTTATAATGATGATTATATATTTCGTTATTATAATAATGTCGAATATTAAGTAAGATAAACATCGAACAATCAGTGTAGTGTGAACCGCGTGGATTTAAAAACTCGGACGTGACCGACGCGCGTCTCAACCGCGTGTGTGATAAGGCGCGCTGCCTCATATACGTCATTTAATTTTGAATAGCGACTTCAATAATACAAATATTATTAACATAAGAAAATTGTGAAATTTTCAGTTACAATAATTACTGAAATAATTACAATTTGTACTATTGTGTCGGTTTTAGTGACATTAGTGGTACGAACGGATCATAATATGATAATAATATCGTAACTATGTGCATTTTATAATTTAACCGCGTGTGCCCCCCACCCCCGGGGGGGGGGAAGCTGCGTTCGGAAATTTAAAGTGGAAAGGATGAAATATTCTTCTCTTCGTTTGACTAAATCCCAAATATTTAGAGTGGACCACTCTCGTTTTAAACTACCACTTGACACGATTTTCCACCTCGAATACACCAGTTGTCCTTATATCGTTCTCGATCGCATCCAACAACCTCTTTTTCGGTCTACTTTTCGGACATTCTCATCTTTGCTACACCCTACACCCATTCTCTGTTCTATTTTTCTGTCTAATGTCCAACACTCCGAACCATACGAAATAGTGAGTATCACCGGTGTGGTAGGTTAGGTGTTAACGTTGGATAAAATTCTCTTGTCACATAAAACACCTGACGCTTCTCTTCACTGCATCAAACCATACTTAGTACTATGTTTCACGTCATCTTGAAAGACATTGTTCTTTTAAAAATAACCGAGTTAAAAATAATAGTAATATATTACAATATTAATAAAGTCAACTCGTGTCTAGTATCCCGACAATAGTACATAATATTTTTATTATTTTTTTTTTTTTTTTTAAACGTTTATTAGTATATATACAATCTGTAGTGATATTTACAAGAAGCTTATGGGCGTTCATATATATTATAATGACGTGAGGGAGTGATGAGAAAAGCTACCCAACAGTAACAGTCGGAAAATACGAAATATAATAATTTTCGGTATTGCAGAAACGGCGAAAACCCATTGAACGTATCTACGCGGCCCACGTGCTGTCGACGACCCCGGCACGCGTAAATTGTTTTCCGAGGAATAGCGCTGCACAGCTGATTTAAATCTGTTTTCGCATTTCGATAATTTCTTGAATCCTCGCGGATTCGCAATTATAATAATATTTGTATACACTAAAACGACGAAATACAAAATATGTAACAATACAATAAGCTAACTATTAGCTACTATTATAACCTATACAACGCTTGGCTATCAAAGCTGTCGACCAAACTACCAAAGTTCATCGACGGTGACTTGTTTTCCGAAAATCTCTTTTTAAACGTCCAATCGAATATTCACATAACGGACAATTATTGTTAAGTCGCCATCTCCAAAACGACTCGTGTATAAAAAAATACATCTGGTCGGGTGTCTGAACCTTCTCGTTTTCGGCGAAAACTGGAGTTCGATGAATAATTTTGGCCGGTGGTCGACGTGCTCGAGAGTTCGGCGTTGAAAGCATTCACTACGTTTCGGTTTTTTCGCGATTTTTTTCTAGCATACCTATTTATATTTTTTCGTTTCGTTTGTATAATATAATCCGAGTATAAATAATCGCGAAGTTTCTGAAATTCGATTTAGTCGTTGGCACCTACTTTGCGGGGAAAAGTCCCGCGGTCATCGATCTCCATGAGCAGCCCGCGGTTGATTTACCCCGTGTCAGTGACCAAACGTTTTGTATTTTTCCAGCGTTTCGTAAGAAACTTGTTCTAAATTAGTGCAATTATTTTGTTTATCGCGTTGGTTATCGGTTTGTCTGATTATTATGATTATGACATTAGTATGAGGTACTATACTATATTGTGTTATTATTTTGTTTTTAAATTTTAATGTTCGCTAATGAATAATATATTATTTTAGATTCTGAACGTAGCTGATGTGTAGTCATGTGTGCTTTTATTTATTCTTTTTTTAATTATCGGGTAAAATTGAGGAAAAACGGGTGGGTTTACGGAAATAACAAGATTTTTATTATTATTTTTTGTTGTTGTTCGTTAAAAAATATTCATAAGACTTGTATTTTTCAGAAAAATAAGTTATTTTTATTGAACTTTATTTAAACGTTGGTTAAATTTGCCAAACATACTGCTGATTTTCGAGTTATCAACATTAGGAATTTGACATTTGACGTTTTATTTTTATTTTTATTTTTTGAGTCGTAGGTATTATATGGATAAAATAGTTGTTTTAAGATCAAATTTTAATAAAAAATCAAAAAAACTACGGCATTTCAAACTCGTATAATGTATATAAATGAACTTCGCTCAGCATCGTTTTTCATCAGCCACAATTTATCTATCATATAAATTAAATAACTTTATTCATCCTACTGTCTCAACTTGCCACCTATTTTATATTTATTACGATTAAAAAGAAAAAGTAGACCTTTTTTAGCTTAAAGGTTGACACCAGGACATGCCCCCTCTTCCCTTTATTACATAGATTTTTGTAGATTGGGAGATACTTGAAAGTTTGACATAACAGTTATCTACGTTGTATAATCAATACCTAGGTGTATACTATTTTTTTATAAGTAAATTGTAATTTGTATTGTTAAAAAAAAAAAAAAAGTCAATGATGATAACCGTAGTGTTCAATAATAATTTTTGTACGAGGTCGCTGTATAGTCCGAGTTAAAAACCGCTGAGTGCAGGGTGCGGTTAAAATAATATTTGTGAACACTATACAGTATCTATACATATACATACAACACGAATCTTGGTTTCCGACTGTAAATTATTAATATTATTTTAGATTCTGAGCGTATTTTATATTGACTTTCATAATACGAATAAATATTATTATAAGCACGGATTGACCATAATATAGTATATGAACAATCAAACTTGACCTTACTAGCGGAAGAGTATTAATCAAAAATTTAATAAATATTATATCGTTATGTTATATATTTTGTTCAATTTACACAAGGTTATTTAATATATCAATCCGCAAACATTACATTTTCGATTTTTATCTTCGTCTTCCTGAACACAACAAACTGTTACAATATTATTAATAAACTTACATTGATTCTGCGCGGCGCACTTGTACGGGGAAAATATTATGTTTAGGTGGTTTGCGGTACTGTCGCTAAACTCGTCAATATACCAGGGCCCAGAAAATGCCTTAACCAAAAATAACGAGACCGATGCAATACACAAATAATATTCAAAACATACGCAACACGAAAATCTATTTTGTTCTTATGTCCCGATATTATTAATACGTTTCCCGAAGATTTTTTGTTTGAATTTATCACCTGCAATATCGCGGTACTTACCGAATTCTTTTTCCGTCGTGTTGACACCGAAAACCGGGTATAATTAATTAAATAGCGAGATACAGAAACGATATAGTTAAAATACATGAAAGGCCACCTGTATCAAAGTGCATACACAACGAAGATGTTCCTATTGTGTCATGTGTATACATAGATGTACACATACATTTTAATGTAAATTCAAATGCACATCAAAAACGAACACACAGAACGAATTGAAATAAAACCTATTGTTTCGAGGTTATATGTAGATAAGTAATTTTTCGTTTGGTTCGGTGACCAAAGTGATGTGATTTTTATTATGATATTATAAAACAGTCGGTGGTTATAGTGCCAGGACAGACAGACGGGAACATTAATGTACGATATAATATTGTTTAGCATTACCCATTGTCCCATTGCTCCATTCATAAAATATCACTGGGTCTTACAATTTTTTTTTTTTTAATTTTATTCCGCGGAAAACAAATTCTTTAAGTCGATTAATGGAAAACGAATAAAGAATATGTTTTATAAATACATAGTCTCGAGAATAAGCAAACGCTTCAGACTAATTCTTTATCTTCTTTGTACAATCAGACGTGGCTTGAAAACTTTTGTCGAATGAATTGGTGACAGTGTATATTTTAGTTGATTTAGACGTAAAAGCCCAGCAAAACTGTATAAATTATGTTTGACAAATTTAAATTTTAAAAACAGATTGTAATTCTTTAGTTTCTTTACTAGAATAGTTTGTAAATAGTACTTTAATTATTTAACTAGAAATCGTTTAACTATACGTTTGAAAATGTTTAAAAACGTACTTAAAGTATTTTTCCTTTTACTTATGAAACAGAGAGTTAAAATTTCGAAAATAACTCCAACATATCCCCAAGTAAAGAACCAAAAAAATAATAATGCATTTTTGAAATTGAAATCTGACAATCACAATTTCTTATAAGTTGTGTCCGGCTGACTTTTCGGGTAAAAAGCTTCATTATCGTCTAAACGGCTGAACCACTTTCTCTCAAATGGATATCGGGCAGTAATTTAGCACTATCGTTATGAGGTGGCCTTCAAAATATTTAAAAACAAAATTGGAGAAAATGTTGAAAACCGTTAGCGGCCCTTGAGCACACACACTATATTATATTATAGGTACATTCATTTATTATTCATTTTGACAATCCCTTCGCCGTGTTGTCCACTGC